TGAAAAAAAGTTATTTATGTCACTGGTGTCATCAAAATCTTAGGATTTGGATTGTGAGTTAGTGTATGCAAATGATCTAATAAGGAGCGAATGCAAAATTAGGCCTAACAATAGTAATAGAAATAACAATAAAAGTACTAACAATAACAACAATATTTTAAATCATAATTTCAATAATATTACAGGGGGTAATAATAATGATAACTAATAATAATAATAATAGATGGATTTATATAGCGCAAATAAACGAGGTCTCTATGCGCTTGGGACTAGATGTTTCATTGAATTTTGGTGACGATCTGGAGAAGGGTGTGGATATGAAGACCATTCAAAAGGAAACGTCCTAGACAGGAAAGATATTTGGTGACGATACAGATTTAATTAGGTGTGAAGTTTGGGAAAGAATTTTATGGAACAGTTGGTTAAGCTATATAAACGCAATTCAAATTCTCTACAGCGTTTTAATTAACTGCAGCTAGGTTAAACCATATCTTCGCTTTCAATCACTGAATTACTATGAAACATATATGCACTGGATACGCAGGGTCGGCTCATATAGCGCGCAATGGTTAAGAGCCTCCATATCACCCTCGCTACTAACATAGCATCTATAGTTCGAGTCTTACTAACTAACGTTATTAACATAGCATCTATAGTTCGAGTCTTATTAACTAACGTTTTCTTATTTTTTTGCTTTATAAATTGTCTTTAGTAGTATTTAGTGTTTTTGTTTTTCGTGTGTTTTTACTTTATACTTTTTAATGACTTTTTTTTGTTGCACTTTTTTTGTTGCACAACATCACTTCTCATTATGGCAATGAGGAAAAGCCCTGTTGTACAAACATAGTATTGTTATTATTATTATTATTATTATTATTATTATTATTATTATTATTATTATTATTGTTGTTGTTGTTGTTACTGTTTATTATTATTATTATTGTTATCTTTATTATTATCATTTATTTAATATTCATTATTATTCATTATTATTAATATTATAGTTATTATTATAATTATTTTTATAGTTATGGCCATTATAATAATAATAATAATACTTATTATTATACTATAGTTAAGGTCATTATAATTACGGTATGATGTTGATAATGATGATTACGGTACATAACAAACCGGCGTGAAATATTTAAGGTATTTACAAGTTACGGCTCGAAGAACATTTGACCCCGACGGACAGACCTCAATATGGGGGGGGGGGGGATAAATTTTATTTAGGCTCTATCTCATAGGTATAGAACTATCTCAATAAACTTGATTGGCTTACTATTTAATAATGGCCAGTAAACAGTAATTGATAAATGCTTGATCAATGTTGTTCGTCTCTACGATTCTATGGCGATCACAAATCCCATTCCTGTGCTTACAATGAGCCCGACAATGAGCTTCTTTTGAAGTTATGAACCTGATCGATATACTGTAGGTCGATCATTATGAATGTTTTGTGTGGTGCTGTGTCACGGACACTACGACCACGGAAAGAATCGTTAAAAGGATGTAGAGAATTTATTAACAGAACCGTCCAGGACTTCTTAAAGAGGATTCATGAGCCAGAGGTCACGGGGCGCCGAGGGGCCGCTTAGGCGCGATGGTTGGGTCCAGAGGAAGACCTCTAATGTGTGTCAAGGGATAAAATTCTCCGGCAATTGAAACATGTAATACGCATATTTCATAATTATTTTTGATGGTTTTTGATGCAAGGGGAGGGTGGTTTGGTTTATCAGGAGCTCGTTCAAAAACTGGGTTCGGCCGAACCATAACACTCTCTTGGTTATTAACCTTCAACTCAGGTTGTTTTTTTTTTTTGTTCTACCATAAATGAATAATTCAAAATCCACAATACAGACAATTTGTCCATAAAGGTTATGTGTCGAATCACATAGTAGGAGGAACGAGACAAGAAGTTTACACGTGAGTGGGAATAACAGACGTGGTTTCTTACTTAGTGTACAGAACGATATCCGGCTTCCAGACAGACGCTGGGGGTAATGTTAATACTCCACTTTCTCCATAATGTGATGCATTCCAGTAGAAGTTATCATCCGTCCATTGCTGTTGAGAAAATGTATTTATTTTGCTTTAAATTTCTTATTCAAATCAGATTTATTGGAGATTGAGTATAAATTTACCAGTCACAAAACAAATTGAAATATAAATGTTACCAATTTAAAACTCAAACAAATGGTGATAGCCATTGTCCTCAGTCGGGACGACCCTCCAGAACATATTTCCAATGGGAATACAAAATTCACCAAACATTGACTGTTTTAAAAAGCCCTATATATTAACTCTTCCACCGCTGTCTCTTTATACATTACGCTTAAAGTTTCTAATAATCTTACATATTCATCTCTGTCAACGGGCATCTTTAGTGCTTTGAGGCTTTTTTTTTTTTTTTTTTTGCATTAGGAAGCGCTTTATAATTATTATCATTAATATTATTGATCATTATTATTAAACATAATACTTTAACGGGGAAAACTTGACGAAGATACATCTTTAAATTATTATGATTATAGCAATAAAATGTAACTTTCACTTGAAACAAAATAATAAACAAGCAGGAGACGCATACAAAATGATAACATAAACTTACCATCCTAATCCAAACATTAATTGTAATTATCTGATGTTTTTCGTCCTGTAAAGAATGGAAATCAATATTGTTATTATTACATAGGCCTAGGCCTAATCATTATTGTTTAAATAGTCTATATGAGGTAGAAATGTAAATCGGTTGTTTAGTAAATAAGTAAAATGACGGTTCTCTAAATTTGTACACCACTGTTTCACTGTAATTTTTCATCATTCAAACCTCGTATTTTTGGAATTTCCTCCCATCTTGTTTCTTCGATGATAATGATATTAACGATGACAATGATGAGGATAACGATGGCGATGACAAATGATGATGATAATAATGCTGGTTGATAGTGTTTTGCATGCACTTTTTTTTTAATAATTACGAGGAGAAGGTATTTACCATATCGATGATCTGATTTATAGCCACTCCAAATTTAACAGTTACGTTGTCTTTAACATTATTTACTGGACGTACAACTGAGCTATAGTTTGCCATGATATCCCTTAGCAACCGCTTCTCATCCGGCGATCCATAACAAACTGAAAGAAAGACCAGATATATTAATTTTAAATCATTACCTCAAGCAGACGGAGTTGAAATTATTTCTTTCCTTGTAATTAAGTACACAATGGAGATACCTATACTTTGTTACAAGTTTGAACTCGTACCAAACAAGGTGTTCTGGATTTTGAAATAGGCCTATGTTTAAAACAGTCAAAACCAAACAGTGTATACTTATTACATGAAGTTAATTGTTTTACCTTCTGATATTTTTAAAAGACCATATTTTGTTAATAGAAATATATCTTTAAAGACATCTCTTCAATTTATTTTTATTTTATTTTATTTATAACTGTGAATTTCCACTGGCAATCACGTTGATGGAAGACCCATTGACGGGTCGAAAAATACATACGTTAATATTATGTTTGCATTAAAGTGACTGTTTTCATTGTATTTAAAGCCAGTGTTTTGTTGGATCAAGGCCTGTTATAAGCATCACAATGATAGCTGGGAACTAGCCACGTTCAATATGGACCTCAGGGTATAAATGGCTCGTCGCCTGAGGTCCAGTCCGTCACAAAAACAAACAAATGGCAACTGTTACTACTTATAGCACAATAGGGTCTCGTCCCCAACACCAACAAATTCATTAGTGCAAGCTTTCACATTAATTTACATTCAAATTCAGATTTATATCCGTATCCATATCAATATCAATTATCAATAACCACCGATATCAATAATTAATATCAATAATCAATATTATCAATAATTAATATCAATGATGAATATACATATCAATATCAATAATCAATATCCATATCAATAATCAATATCCATATCAATAATCAATGTCTTAATCATTATCAATTATCAATCCATGCCAATATTCAATAGCATTATCAATATCAATATCCATATCATTATCGATATCAATATAGGCCTACATATAAATATCAATCTATTAGTTTAAATTTGGTAATCATCTTATTTACACATGGTGTTGTAATTGTTACGATGCAATTCATTGCCAAAGGTAGATATTAACCTACTATTTAATTCATTAAGTGTCAGAATGCATAGCAATTCCAATTTGGTAAATGATGTTACCTAGAATTTTAAGAGTATGTCTACGGAAATACACAGTGGATTTTATTTTTTTAGTAATACTGTTATTTTAATTGAAAGACAAAGATTGGTATAAACTGATATGCTGTAAATTTTATTCACAAAAAGTAATGTATAGTAATTTGAAATTTTATCCAGAATAAATAGGCCTACATCCTGTTTGGTTCCAGCAATTTCTGTTGCGAACTGAGTTTAATAATAATAATAATAATAATAATAATAATGCATGGAAGTTATCCTCCAACTCTGTCATGATAATAAGAAAAAGAGTGTAAGTTACCTTTCAGAGTTGTAGTTTAGTTTCTGGGAGCTTTCGATGAGATCTCGTCATCAGTTAACAGCCAGATTCAAACGGCTGACGAAGATGACGAGATGTCATAGAAAGCTCCCAGAAACTAAACTAAAACTCTGAAAGGTAACTTACACTCTTTTTCTTAATAATAATAATAATAATAATAATAATAATAATAATAATAATAATAATAATAATAATAATAATAATAATAATAATAATAATAATAATAATAATAGCTTATTCTTATATAGCGCAAGTAAGCAAGCTCTCAATGCGCTGATCGGGAACATTTTTTTTATTTATTAGTTTTTTATAGTATCATTGACATGTATAACCAGTGATTACTTTTACTGTGCCGTCAATCAAACTTTCAAAAAATATAATTATAAATAGTTTTAAATGTTTCATTCATTCATTAATTTCCGTTTATTGTCATCTGCATCATAAAAATACATAAATATCGATTTTGCTCTGAGACACATTTACATAGAAATACAAAATTAAATAACAAAGAATCAGGGGTGGCACCAGGGGGGTCAGGGCCCCGCCGGGGAGATTCCCCCCCCCCCCACCACCTCCCCCGCATCTGGGAGAAAAAGGACAACTCCTCGGGGAAGAACAAAAAATTATATGTATTTTCTACATAGGCCTATTAGTAGACATTAAAATCGATTAAATAAGCCTTTTAAACCCCTAAATCGTCAAAATTTTCGCTGAGGTGGGTGGAACCGAGTCTCTATTTCTGTGAAAGGTCCTGGACAATCCTCTATTTCGAATTGCTGAATCCGCCACGTCTCCCATATGTTAAAGTCCCTCACTGACTGACTTGTAAAAATTTAGTATTTTAAATGTTCAATAATGTTATAGGTTTTTTTTTTCATTGTGCGCACAGACCTGCATTATTTCTTTTAGGTTTAAATTTAATAATGTTTTATTTACCTTGTGCTATAATTTTACATAGTATGTTGACATATGCAGTGAAATCCGAAACACCACGTCGATGAAAGTGGCACGTTTCATATCTAGGCTATGTGTATGTTTTTAATTAGATTGATTTCATTTTGCATACCTCCCTGGTCAGAGCAATCTTACCGAAACGTCGAGACAACCAGCCAGTGGTTTTTACCTTTTTACCTCAAAAATCATATTCTTATCACATGGTGTGCCGAAAGTTCAATGATTTTTTAATATGATAAAAAAAATGCCAAATAATTATACATATAGATGCTGTCAGCATAAATTGTGAGAAAATAAAACATTTATTTTACCCATTAGAAGTTTAATGATTAGGTTAATATATATTTTAATATAGTATATTAAAATAACAAATACTTAAAATGGTGTCAGCATAAATTGTGAGACTAGAAAACATTTACCCATAAAATAGTTTAATGGTTACTACCGTAACTTAATGCCATAGACCTAAATTACGAACATTGTTGCAGAACTGTTAGTGTATCCAAGGTTACAGACACCAAAAGCTGTGTTTGGTTGTCTTTAGATACAATGACGTATCCAATTCATCGCAATATTTATAATCTTGGGCTGTGTGCCTTTATTTACATAGGCCTACTGATCAGCTATAATGCTGAATGTGTGTTCTTTACTCAAATAATAGATTAGGCTTACAATGTATACTCTAAATTCATTTGGGAGAATGTAACTCCATGTAATGAACGGACATATTTTAAAAGTATTTCTTAAAAATAGTTTCAACTATTTTTGTTTTTTATTTACCTTTGAGACAGGTGTACCAAGTGAAAATTAACAGAAGTGCGTACGAAATCCAAAGACGAAATCTGAACATGCCTTTAAATAGTTCTTTGAAGAACACTGGTTTCAGGCCTACCACATGTAATCCAGAATAAATATATATCTCCTTTCCCGAATAGGCCTACTTGTAGTTCAGAATAGGCTTACCAGTAGTCCAGCTGTCAATGTGTTACCATGAATATTGTAGGCCTATAATAGAATGAAGACCCAAATGAGTCTAACGAGTGTGACGTAATACAATGCTAACCAATGAAAAATTGAATAGAGTTTAAAAGTAATGCTGAGCTCACAATCGATTGATTGAAAAGTCAGGGTCAGGCGGATCGAAACGTAAACCTATCGATGGAGTCAAAGAATAAAATGTTAGTGGTGGTTGTCTCCCGAGTTCACGTGATACTGAGCCCGTATTCTTTTTACAATTTCATTATTGTTGCATTGTTGCAGTACGTCCTGACTTATGTTATAATAATATTGTTTTTATGTAAGTTTGTGTGACAGAGTGACAGGGCATTGTTGTTTTATTTTTTGTTTGGTTTTGGATTATTCTTACGAATGCTACGGCCCTTTCAGCTCCAAAAAGCTAGTAATTAATATAGGGACTGGACACGCGTAGGGTCTAATTAACACATACGTAAGCACGGCCGGCACTTAGTTCAAGAAGCTTCATGAATTAAGATACATGAAATACACTCAATACTCTGCTGTTCTTGTTTAAGTTTGACGCCAGGGTGCCCCCTACACCTACAAAACAAAACAGGGGTTTCAGAAAGGACTGTACATTACTGTCATAAAATGGGGGCACGTCGCATGGATGGCGCTATCGGTTAAGGATGTGTTCTAAAAGAACCAAAAGTCGTGAGTCGCGTCTTGGTATCGTTTCGTTATCCGCCTGACCCTGACTTTTCAATCAATAGATCGTGAGCTTAGCATTATATTTAGATGCAATTCATTGCCAAAGATAGATATTAACCGACTATTTAATTCATTAGTGGCAGAATACATAGCAATTCCAATTTGGCAAGTGAGGTTACCTAGATTTTTAAGAGTATATGCCTACGGAAATACACAATGGATTTAAATTTTTTAGTAATACTGTTTTTTGATTGAACGAAAAGGGTTGGTAAAAACTGATATGCTGTAAATTATATTCACAAAGGGTAACGTCAGTAATTTGAAATTTTATCCAGAATAAATAACATCCTGTTTGGTTCCAGCAATTTCAGTTGCGAACTGAGTTTAAGTCTAATTAATAATCACAATATGTAGGCCTATATTTATAGTTTAATATTTATTAACGTATTTTACCGTTGTCTTTTATTAATTTAATCTCGGATAATAACAATAATGATAATAATAGTAATAATAATAACAATAATAATAATAATAATAATAATAATAATAATAATAATAATAATAATAATCATTCTTATAAAGCGCAAGTAAGCAAGCTCTCAATGCGCTGATCATTTTTTTATTTATTAGTTTTTCAAGAACGAAGTATCACTGACATCAATCCGTCAATCAAACCTTCAAACAATATAATTATAAATAGTTTTCTTAAATTTTTCATTCATTCATTAATTTCCATTTATTGTCCTTTGCATCATAAAAATACATAGAAATCGATTTTGCTCTGAGACATATTCACATAAAATAGAAAATTAAACAAAGAATACGTCTACAGAATCAGTATCACCCCTCTCATACGATAACGCTAATTAACGTTAAGTGCCCGAATGGCTGCTAGATGGAGGTTGTTCCTGTTCCCGTTTGTGCGAATAGGGATAGAGAGCCTGCGCCACTACGTACACAAGCCCGTACGCAGGGGAGTGGGGATACGAAGGATGCAGGGGCGGATCCAGTAGGGGCACGGAGGCGCTTTCCCCACCCCAGTTTGACTGTTGTGCCCCACTCTTAGGTTTAAATTTAATAATGTTTTATTTACATTGTGCTATAGTTTTACATAGTATGTTGACATATGCAGTGGAAATCCGAAACACCACGTCGTTGAAAGTGGCACGTTTCACATCTAGTCTATGTGTATGTCTAATTTGTAGGGAATTATTTTACTCCAACCTCGGTTTATTTACGATTCTTTTAATTTAATCATCTTAATGAACGCTAACCCGTGTATAATTAATAGCATTTCCACAATGTTTTTAATTAGATTGATTTCATTATGCATAGATCAAGTTTCCTTAACAAAGTTGTTGTATTCATCGTTAGGGCTATCAACAATTTTGATAGACTACAGAACATTGGAAAATAAAACACTGAATAATGTTTGCTCTCAAAACCTGTGGCTGATTCAGGGGGTGGGGGAAGCCGGCATGGCTCTCCCCTAAATGAAATAAAAAAGAAAATTATATAAAATCTTAAAGTTTTAGAGTCGCATTTCCGGCTACCTATGTGCGCCATAATTAAAAATGTTCCTACTTCAGCCCCAACAATATCGACCCTCCATCTCTGAAGGTCCCTCCCTGCCACAACCTTGGGAGTGTTATACATTAATTAGGCCTATATCCTATATATCGAACTTAATGAAAACGCAAATTACATGCCACACTCATAATATTGAATTTAAATTTCTAGGCCTATTTGAAAACTATATTGTGTAAATGATGTTGATGATCCAGCTTTTGGTGCTGGCGCGTAAAATCTGGTTTCCATACAATCATTAAGAGTCGACGACAGCTTTTAGTGATGCTGATTGGTCGGTCGAATCAAAGAGCCTCCCCAATTGCTGAAGATACAGCTATAGCCGCAGTGCAGAGATCGACAGTATAGCGATTTTGTTGAAACAGGTACAAGCGGAGATTTAATTTCATTTCAGAACAGTGGTGGCGCCAGAGGGGGGGGGAAATAGCCCCTCTCCCCCCCCCCCACCGTCGGGGAAGAATAGTTCCCCCGTCGGGGAGACGGGGGAACGATGCATTTTTTCGGGGAACAAACAAATAAAAAAAAAATTTACATGTAATATTCGTTTAGCCACCATATTGTTTGTGTTAACTTTTCATCACAAAAACAACAATAACAATAATAATAATAATAAAAATAATAATAATAATAATTTAATGAGACTAATTAAAAATAATTTGTGTTCTGTTATGACAAATTCTCATTTAGATAGTCTCATGATGGTTAGAATACATCGTGATAGGTGAAGCAACCTCGAGCATGACAGCGTGGTTGACAGATTTCATGCAAATTTCCAAAATATAGAATTTCACTTTCAAGAATGAGGATTTGAAAATAAATTAGATGGTTACATTGCATACTCTTTGTTTCTTGCTTTATTCAAAATGTTTTGGTTTTGGAAGCTGATTTCAACATTACAAAGCATAGCCTACATGAAGTCATATTATAGTAACTCGATGCTTATCAAATAAGTAATAATATTTCACCATAATTCATCAAATGTCCGTGGTTTCCAGGGAGCTTCGCCCCCGGGACCCCACCGGGGCCCTAGGCGGCCCCCTGGCCCCCAGTCAAGTGAGACTCGATTCGTTCCACTA